TAGAGACAACCAAGATGAATTAGCAACATGGCATATGATTTTTCAAAGAAGCCCATCCCCTAGGCTTGAATTTTGCAAGGTAAAGTCAAGTTTGGATGGATGTGATTGAGTGTTGCATGATGATTGGTTGGACATACCTTTAGTCGTCATACTTCATTCTTTTTGCTTCAAACTTAGAATGGTTAGTGACAAAAATACCCGAATGAATATTTTCATAATTATGTTTCTATACTCACTTCATAAGGGCATTATAACAAAAGGTGAAAGCTCATGTTGTCTCATCGAAAGTGCTTGTTTTAGGACAGAAGCTTGCCCTTGGGAAACCTTCGAATCGCGCTTTAGGTTGGTGAGGTGGTTTTCCCTCCAATACCAACCTTTGGGTGCCTAGCTCAAGATTTATGAAAATGAGATTTGTAATATTTATGATAGACTTATGCATCTACAACCACCCTTTTAAAGTCTTTACGAATAGGAAGCATGAGGGGGTTGAAGATCTCATGTTTGGCAATGTTAGATAGACCAATTGATTCAGGAGATTTCTCATGCGAGCATGGATTTGATGAGGTGCTTATGAAATAACTTCCATGCTCGTCGATTGCATCTTCCTGCTCCAAGGTTGTTTCTTCATGAATGACTATTGGTGGAAACATTGTCTCCATCATTTCATGCCTATGACATTCATTGAACGCTTTATTTTTCAAGATTTTCCATAGATTGGTGACTCTTGGGTTGATCTCGTCTAAGGCCTCCTCCAAACATGTATGAGTCATATTTATTAAAGAGATTGATTTAAGCTCACCATTTAGATCTAAGCCAAGTTTGGATTCTACCCATAAGGCTTCGTCCTTGTCTATCCATTCTTTAACAACAACATACAAGTTCTTAATATATTCTAGCCATTGTCATTGCTCTTTTTGGTCATTCTTGTGGCCTTCATGACTCCCATGCTTTGGTTGTCTTAGTGACTTTCTAGAGTCATCATGACACTTATGAGAGAGAGCATAAGAGGGATCATCAGGGTCAATGATTGGTTTAGAGATTGGTTCAGATGAGACATCTAATATAGGCATAGAAGGGGAGAGAATAGGAATGGCTTCTACATAGCTTGGCTCTCCTTCTATGGTTTCACTAGACATACCACCCTTGTGTTCTTCCCAATGTCCAATATAGGAATAAGGACGCTTTCTAAGAGATCTCTTTTTGAGAGAATTTGAATTATATTCACTCGAAGGTCTCTTATATAGCAGAAAATTTAAGCTTTTCCCAAAATCAGCATCAAAAAGATCTTCCTTAATTTTTTCAGGGCTTTCCAGAGGTAGAATTTCTTCTTCCTTTGGATGATTTTGGGGTATTGACAGTTTGGGGTTGATAGCTGAATCTTGGGATTGGAGTGATTCTAATTCGGCTATCAAAACTTCTTCTTCCTGATCGGGAGATGATTTCTTCTCTTTCTCGGGGAGTTCATTATGAATGCTACTTCAGGAAGTCTTTCCACTAATTTTATCAAGCATAGATCTTGCTTCACTAGTAGACAAATGAAGGAAAGCACCTCTAGACGCTACATCAAGGGATTCCAGGGAGTCCTTGCTAAGACCCATGTAAAAATGTTGAAGAAGTGCAGGGTCTTGAATGGCAAGGTCTGGGCCAATGATGATGAGTTCGTAAAAACGATCCTATGATATACCAAGAGGTTCTTCTTCTAGTTGTCTAAAATTTAGAACCTCTTTCCCAAGGACTTTAGAGATGGGAAAGAAACGTAAATAAAATTTAGAGCATAGTGTTTCCCAATTTTCTTGCAAACTTTCTACGATTTGACTATACCAATGTTTAGCTCTTCCCGTCAAAGAGAATGGAAACAACTTCCAACTTAAGGTCTCGTCTGACATGCCAGCGATACGCAAGCATGCACAGGTCTGTTCAAACTCTTGTAGGTTAGAGAAATTATATTATTTGCGGCATACTCCTTGGTTTTGAAAAGAATGTAATCTACCATCTACTTTTATTTTCGTATACCAAATATGATCCCTCCTGTGGCCACGTCATCTGTTTCCCTGGCTGCACAATGCCGCACCTCCACAATCCATCGCATGCCGCCCTTCCCAGCACACCTCTGACCCACACGTAAAAGCGACCTGCCTCTGTAATTCTAGCTATAGTGCTGGATCAAAACTATCTCCATTTTTTTAAAAAAACTATTATTTATGATATCAAATAAGTATCATTAGATTCTAACGTGGAGTATATTTTCATAATAGTTAATACTGCTCTATGTAAATTTAGTTAAATTTTAAAACAGTTTAACTTAGACCAGAGGTAACACTTCGATAGCAGTTTATGAGTGACATAGACATGCTTATTTTTTTTTGAAAAACTAGAACCTTTGGTTCCAGCGTATATTAATAAGAAGGGGAGAGTTGGCTCAATTTATAAGGGAAGTCTGGCTTGAAAACCGTACAACTATTACCTACAACCTACACACCAACACCATACAACAATATCTAGAGGTTGTCAAGTGTCTTTATTTTTGTGAACACGGTATACCCATATTTCAGTAAGACGATGAGGATTACACGACATGATAGAACCCTCATATCATAGATTACAAACCACGAAGATAATGGTGAGTGGCCTAGAAAGAAATGTAAGAACAAGAAAAGAATTAAAGAATGAGAGCGACTACCCTCAACCCCTACAACCTAACAACTGAGACTGCAAGAAAGGATACATCAAAGCAATGGTGGCCTACAAAAAAGACAATGTTGTGGTGACAGAGACGAGCATCGGCGGCAAAGCATCCGCCAGTGAAGACCAAGCGACCATGGTAGCCAAGTATCCATCAAGAGAGGGCTAGCACACTCTCGGTAGCAAAGCATCTACTAGAGATGGGACTGAAAAGCCAATGGCGACAAAGCATATGCCAATGATTCCACCGACGGCCAAGCATCGTCCATCGGCCGCCCACTATGGCAGAGCATCTGCAGGGGTGGACCGGCATGACACTCTCGCTGCAAAGCATCAACCAGAGACAGGACCAACGACAACGGCGGCAAATTATCCGCCAAAGAAAAGGGACGACAGCAAATCAAGAGCTGCAAGATAGGCCATTGTGAGGAGAACGTAGGATTAGACAGGCATTGTGCGGAACTCCACCAGAAGTCGATAGAGACCACACGGGGGACAAGCAGGCTCCAGCTGTTAGGAGGGCCCAAGGGAGCAAGCGACGAGCCGCACGTGATTCTTGAGTAACACCTTTAGCAACATGGGTGATGCCAAAAGGTAGAACCATGGACGCCACTGTCGCTGGCCTTAGGGCTTCTAAGGCGGGGCTTACGCCCAGAATCTGGCCCCGTTGACGCCAAAGCATGTGTTTCTTCAACGAGGCCTCCAAGGAGGTATGTGGCGCTCAAGGCATCACCATCGTCCGGCCGGCCAAAACCATGCTGGGATTTTACCCAAAAACTCTATGCATACGAAGGCATCCCCCAACGCAGGCGGAACTAGGTAGACTGAGCTGGGGGGCACGTGACCAGAGCCAGATCGACGGTGGTGGTCATACAGTCTGCGTGGTGGCCTGGAGCGCGAGTGGGATGGCGCGACAGCTTTGGCAAACTGTGAGCTATGGGCTGCTCCAGTCCGTTACATAGCCTACCTGGTCGCTCGGCCATAGCAAGGGCGATCCCCTACAGGCCGCGACACCGCACATGAGGATGGACCTGCCAGTTCGCCGTGCCCGCCATAGCCAACGTCTTTAGCTGCCGACGCCAGTTCAGGGGGAGCTAGGGGATTAGACACCGGCAATGATGACCGCGTCAATGCCGGCCACAACAGGGACCGGTGCGGCTGGATCTGCCATTGCCGAATCCAGAAACGATGGCAACACAGATGATGGTGGCTCTCGTGGCACGAGCACTTGCTCCACGCGGATCCAGGCAGCAGCGGCTGACCAAAGGCCAGATCTGTCGATTTCATGACCGGATCCGTCGACGCCGCTGACTGAGGGTTGCCGGCCATGGGGGGTGGTGTGGGTTTGGGGAGGGCCGGGGGGAGGAAGCGGGAGAGGGAGCCATGGCAGGCCGCCTTGTTGAGCACCCACCACGGGCCGCCGCTCGCCGCTCGCCGGAGAAGTAGCGGCGGCGGCCGAAAGGGCGTCCTAGTGGGCCCTCGACGGCAGCTATCCGTTGGTTGTCAAGTGTCGTGCTGCCAAGTTAGCCAAAGTAGCAGCTCCGACTTCACAAGAACAAGCCTCAGTCAAATCTCAAGCCATGAGAAAGGCGCCGAACTGTCCTCAAATCCAACATGCCAAAGAACACGAAACCTACCACCGAAGCCCCTTATGCCAACCATCGCCAACAACCAAGCACGGCCTAGACCGATATGGTGCTTAAATCTAGTTTACATGGTAATTAACGTCCAAAAATGGATGGCCTCCCAAAGGTTACCTTTTGCGTGCCACATATAATTATTACTGGCCAACACAAGGATGTCGCGGCAAAGAAGAGCCCGTTTTCTAGTTAACATGGTTGAGCCAATGCTCCAACTAATCAAATTGTGAACTAAATGTTAAGCAATTTGTTGTCTTGCCCAATCTAAATAAATGCACATCTAGACTATACGCATGCACTAGTGCAATCACCGACAATGGCTGTCATATGATAAATATAGAGATGTTTCGCATCATAATCATCAAGCGAACAGACAAGTACCTGATATATCAGCAACTAACTCCTTGTCAACTTAAATCAAAGATTAAAATTACAGATTTCTATGGATCCTTAAATGGAGTCGTGGAACTCGATATTTAACTATGAAGATTAGAGATTTTTTACTGCGCTTGGCTGGAACTAGCGGTTCCGCTTAAGGGCTCTCTAGTCATCTTGTTGTGATCATTATTTTTTTTCCATCGCACCAACAAAAACACACGCAAAGCGAGCCGGGGAGGGACTCGCAGCCGCTGGCGCCTGCGCACGGGGCGCACCAGTAGCCTCCGGGCTGCCAGAAGCCTACAGGGGCCCGGGCGCCCGGCGGTGACCACCGTCTGCACTCTGCAGCCTGCAGGGGCTCGTCGGTGCCCGCCTGCAAAGGCCTACAAGGGCCAGCCGCTGCTGCGTCTGAGTCTGCGTCTGCTTTTCTCCCATGCGCGCAGCAGAGCCACCTCTGTTCCTGCATGAAGTCTCTTGCTTCGCGCACCTGGAAGAGAATGCAGCAGCAGCACGTATGGGGATCGGGGCAACAAAAGCAGTGACGAAGTCTGTGGACTTTCCAGACGGCGGGTCCCAGAGTGCCGAATTGATCAGGCCACTAGACCAGCACTGCCAGCGTTGAAGAGAAAAATGATGTATTGATGTTCGACGAACTAATTAGTCCAGTGACCTATCAAAATACCATTGTATCCTTCTAACTAAATTTAGAATTAGTTTCAGGCCCATCAATATTAAGTTTCGGCCCACAACTTAAGTTCCTTCCTCTTGGTTCTTTTAGTTTTTTTTTTACCATTAGATCTAGATAGATGAACGGCTACCCTTTTTTCTAAGCACCGTAAAATTTCTCTGAAGATTAAAGTTATGATATATACAAGTAAATCTTTTTGTGTTGTGCATGGGAGAAAAATCTATCAGCGTTGCACTTTAATTCAATGTTTGTAGGACATTATCATATTATTGCTAACATTAACTTATACTATGGATGTTGTGTTCATCGTAAAATAAACTGTAGCTTTTAGATTTCATAGAAGGATAAAACAGAAATAAATATCTAGCATTTTTGTTCTCGTTTCCAATACATGCATATTCGGTAGCTTATTTTTTCTCCCATTGCACGCATATTTGCTAGTCATTACAATATAGCATTAGGAATTGGTATATATACATATATGAAACATAGTGTATTATAGGAGTACCTTTGAATACTGTTTCTTGAAAATGTAACATATCCATAATGTCTATACGTAATATCCAATACAGAAGCACAATACTGTGAAAGTACATTCGAAAAGAGGTCGATACATTTTCTTCTTGTTAAAGTTTTGCATGTTTGACCACACGCGCATCTTGAGCAACTTGTTTCTGTGACACCAGTGAGTAATGCTTGAGCCCCTCGTAGAACAGCTCCTTGAACCTGGACAGCGCTTGTGGCTCCATAGAAACGGTGACATTGAGCTGGCCATCGCCGTCTGGGCTAGGCACAAGGTACAGGAAGTTGCTCTCGTTGAGGATGGCCCGGCCAACGAATGATGGCCGGCCCCAGCCGAAGTCCACGTCGATGAGGGGCAACCCAATCCAGCTCACGACATACAAGTCAGTGTCCGGGACGGCCCACGTCCCCAGGTGCAATCCCGGCGCGTTGTTCATGGCGAGCTCCAAGTAGTCTGCCAGCGACCGTACGTACTCGTCGCTGATCCGAGCAACGGCGGCGGAGACCTTGTCGGCGACGGCGTCGAGCGGGCTCGAGACGATGTCCTTCACCTTGGTGGCAGTCGTCCTTGTGCGGGCGATGGCGTTGCCGAGGTAGCCCACCGGGAGAGGGGGACGCATGCGCGAGCGCACGCAACCCGACACATACATCCGAGAGTCCGCCGTTCCACTGAGGCCCTTCGCGATGCACGAGCAACGCCATACATGCGCCACCATAGCGCTGTAAGTGGAGACCTTCTTGCTGGCACTAGCACCGGCGGCGCCTTTGAGCGCGTCGACTTGGTTCTTGGAAACAGGGAAGACGGCAGTGTCGAATGGCACCTTCGTCGCCGACGGTACGCTGCCACGCAGCGGGTATTCGCTGTGCTGGAAGCGCACTGCTGGCGGCGAACGTCCACGGAGCAGCGTGCGGTCGAGGCTTGGCCGCAACAAGATGGCTTCCTCGCTGTCGCCCCTCGCGATGGCAGCCCACATCTTCAAGAAGTGGCCAAACGCACGGCCGTCACACACCGTGTGGTTGATTGCCGTGCCGACGCACACCCCACCGCACTTGAAGAACGTCACCTGCATTGTCGACGACTAGGACGTCAACGTTGCGAGCTACGACGACACGGAAAGGGAATGCTTGCGAGTTGGGGCGAGAATTGAGCGTCACCTGGAACATGGCCAAGGCGCCGGTGTGGTCTGCCGACGGGACAAGCATCCGCCGCAGCTCATCCGACGGCGCGGGGCTTTCTAGCTCGTCGAGGGTGGCGTCGGCACGGGCGGTGACAAAGAGCACCCCGTCGCCGGTGCAGTCGATCTCGAGGCGGCCAGAGGTGTCCGATCTGAGGCGGCCAGCGATTGGGTAGAAGGGGACGAGCGCCTTGGACAGAGCTGCCTTCAGCATGTCCGGCGAGAAGGCGGCCGAGTCCGGGCAGAGGTGGTACAAGTAAACTTGGGGAGTGTGGGTCCTGCCCTGGACGAGGTCCAAGATGGAGAGCCAAAGCCGGTGCTTGGGCGTCGCCTCGCCGGGCGTCACCACGCAGGACTCTAGTATCTCCACTGCCATTGGACGAAGAATCAGCTGTGCAGCCGAGCAGAGGGAGGGGATCCTAGTCTAGCACTAGCTAGTTCTCACCACTCATCACGCGCTGATGCCCACCCACTCACACAATGCTTTTATTTGTGTTGCGATCATAAAGCCGGGTCCCTCGGGGACGTCTTCCCCGCAAAGACTCGGTCCAAGCAGACAGCGCGTAACTCATGGGCCGGCCTAAGTATCTAAATAACAGGCCAGAAGGGCGATCCAATCACCGACCGGAAAATCTAGCCGAGGAGCAGCAGCGCCCGTTTTCCGACTCTGACCGGAGCGCTCACTTCGATCTCTAGCCCGCCTCCGGACGGCCTCTCCGACCGGAAGGCCTGGCCAAAGCACCACTTTCGACTCCGACCCCACGTCTCCGACCGGGGTACGCAAAAACCCTGCTCACTATTCTTCTCCGATTGGCGCAATCAGAGCCGACTGGGACCAACCGACCGGGGACGCCCGCTCGGAAAGGACCAGGGAACGAACGGAGAAAGCAAGGCAGGGCACACAAGTCAAACCACGATACCAGGGACCATACCCTGTACGCCTGCAGAAACAGTACTCTGCAACCTCCCTGACACACAGTGTTGTAGGCACCGACATTTTTCCCTACAGTATTGTAGGTGCCATTAACTCCCATACGGTAAGCCCCCCCCACGTCTCTGGACATCGACAGTGTTGTTGACGTCGGCATTTACCATATCGAGTAAACATGGTGAAACTCCTCACATGCCTATGGGCATCAACAGTATTGCAGGTACCGACATCTGCCATACCCGAATAGAACGACGCAGCCTCCCACGTGCATCCGACATCCAACAGTGTTGTGGGCGTTTACCATCATCATGTAGCCGCCGGCGTGGGCAACAAGGCTTAGAAGCATACGTACTCTCTCCCTCTCACTTGTAAGGCCATCCCCTTCATCTATAAAAGGGGATGCGCTCTCTCCCAATAGAAAGTTAATCCAGGCTGATCCAAGTCATTTCATATTTATTAGATCGATCAAGTTCACTAGTTCACAACCACAGAACCGCCAGGTTCGAACCTCAAGCACACGCTTGAACACTTAGCTCATAGCGGAGCTCCTGTCGCTCTCGGTCCCTTCAACCGGAGTCCGATCAGACCTCTTGTACCCCCATCATTTTCCTTCTTGTTTGTAACTCTATTGTAAACTTCGAGCACTTGGCTCAGGAATAAAGTCATCGACCGACTTAAACTGGACGTAGGGCACGTTGTCTGAACCAGTATAAACCCTGTGTCATTGAGTGCTAGGCCACCTCCGATCACAATGTACGGCAAAACTACAAATATTTACTTGTTGGTCACTTTCTGCACCGACAATTTGTTTTGACAATGTTTGCGCTAACATATCGCAAAGCCGCAAAGACATAAATGGGCCCACTGCCAGTGGTTAGATATTTAGGCAATTTCAGTATTAGTATATTGATCATTGTAACAGTCCTGAAAACACCCAAATCAGTGAGTACAGTGTTACGCGGGACCAACGCTAGAGACACCGATGTCACGTTCTCACTAGTCGACGTGGACTGCTCGATGTCGTAATCGTCAATCAATGCAGGACGATGTACACCGTGTAGTCCCGTAAATGACCACTAGAATAAGGTGTTCGTCACATGTTCACCGGGAAGACACGGTAGACGAGCGCGGCCACCAGGAAGCAGGAGCAGTCGCGCAAGATCTTTGCTCCCAAAAACTTGATTCACCGGCACGCCGAGTACATGTCATAGACAGGCATCGGTTTCAGAGGCCTGTTCTTTCAATCTTCTATGCGTCCAAGGATTAAAACGGAGACACTTCGAAAGCAGCAGGAATAGAAAAGGTGCGGTAGCTATGTGTCCTATGCTCGACAGCGCGAGACTGCCGACGGAATCCCGTGGTCCACGTGCTTCCTGGTGTCGTAGGTGTTTGTAATTTTTTCACGGTGTACGTGCCAATTTTTTTACAATTAGTACGTGCTAATTTATAATGACAGACTTTCGGTGATAAAAATAAATCATGCTCTAGGATTGGACACGACTTAACATGAAGTCTTAGGGCCTGTTCGGATTCTCTGGTCTAAAGTTTATTAGCTAAAGTTAAAGACTAAAAACTAGACTACTTTAGTTCACTTCTGTGGTCTAAAGTTTTATGAGGTGATTTAAACTTTACACAACATTTTAGACCTCATGTTTGAGTCTCAAGAGCTAAAATGGTCTAAAGTTTAGTTGGCTTTCGAACGTATGCTAACGAGCCCATGTGACAATTATTTAATACTTACCTTGTTTTTCTTTTCTTATTTTATAGAAATGACTGTTTTGTTAGGTGATTATACGCCACGGTCGCTGCTAGCTGTTAACTGCATTTTTGTAGCATTGGAATCTAACGGCGATGGCCTGATAAAGACAGTGAGAGCGAGTACAATAATCTGACTTATAGCAGAGCAAATGCTAATGTTGAGGAGTGAACAAAGGAGAGAGCTTGGCTCTCACAAAAGCAACATGTTGGATAGGGAAACGTACGCAGTATACTTAAAGTGAATAATGTGAGTAAGATTAAGAAAGAGAATATGGGACATGATAAAAATAATAATAAAAAGGTTTCTTATAAATAAATAAGAGACCACTATGGTATAACTTGACTATTACAACTTACTCCTTCGTCTCAAATTATAAGTCATTCTCACTTTTTTAGAGAGTCAAAGCATCTCAAGGTTGACTAGAATTACAGAGAAAAATACAAAGATTTGTGAAATCAAATAGGTGTACTATAAAATATAATTAACGAAAAATCTAATAATAATACTTATTTAGTATTATAAATATTATTGTTTTATTATATAAATTTGGTCAACATTGAGATTTTTTTTTGACTCTAAAAGAAATTTAAAGTGACTTATAGTTCGAAACAGAGAAAATAGCTAATAACCATGCTACAGTGATATGCCAACAACGTCCAGCTGTTATACCAGCCACCAATTAATATTGGGGAACAAGGAGGACAGGTGGGGGTGGGTGGGGTCGGTGAGAATAAATTGGATGGGGACGCACTAAAATGAAGATCTATCCTGAATTCAGGACACGTGATTTATATGTGTAAAGCAGTATCCAGGGCAAAGATCGGACAATCATTACGGCTCCCTCCTATGCAATTCTCGTTTTGAGAAGTTTGAACTTTAATTAAATTTATATTAAAAAGTATAAATATTTATGATATAAAATAAGTATTATTAGATTAGTTATAGAACATATTTTTATAATAAATTTATTTAAAGACATAAATGCTAATATTATTTACTCTAAATTTGGTTGAATTTAAATTTTTTTGATCGGCACGGATTTTATAATTAAATTCTTTTGTGGGCCGACGTACTTCATACTACAGAGACAATTTTCATGTACTTGTACGTGCCAATTTATAGTGACAGACTTGATAGGGAGCCCATGTGACAATTAAATAAAATACCTCGTTTTTTTCTTTCTAAAGAAATGTTTGTTTTGCTTATTTATATGGTGCGGTCGCTGGTAGCTGTCAAGGACACTACTGTAGCAGTGGAAGTTATGGTGACGGATTCATGCATCGATGGTACTGGCAATGATGTACTACAACAATATCTAATTGTTTGATACCAGCCATTAATAAGATTGGGTAACACATGACAGGATGGGTGCACGGAAGATGAAAAACTAACGAGAAGACACTACCACGGCTCGAAATATCCACTTTTAAGATGAATAGATTTCATCATTTAAGAAGCTAAAATTGTTACAATTTTAGTTTTATGACGAATTTATGATGAAAGATGGTTCGTCATAGAAGTCGCGTCACTCTTGCATATCTATGACAAATCTATAAAATCGTCATAGAAGTGTCTTGATCTGTGACGAAAAACATATTGTCGTAGAACTGTTTTGGCATGCGTGGCAGGAGGCTGCCACACTAGTGGGCGCTTTTGTTGGAGATACTTTCCACGTGTACATGCTATAGTCCACATGTACATTCTATAGTCGGTTGCATTGAAGATGGTTTCGGGTACGTGTGACCTTATTGCACAACGTGGCCATCTCTGGTTCTTGCATGTATCAGGTTCTTACTAGACCATGTGTCGGGTCCCTATTGTTCCATATGTTTGTTTTCTATTGGCACACGTGTCATGTTGTAGTTGGATCACGTATCACTTCTTTATTGGACCATGTGTCATATTTTTATTGGTCCACGTGGCCATTTCTTTTGTCTGTCCACGTTTCGTATTTTTATTCAGCCACGTGGTTTCATGACTTCCTTCCACATGTAGGATTTTAATAGCCCACGTGTCAGTCCTAGCTATTACACGTGTCATGCACTGGTTCGTTCACGTGTAGAATTTTTATTTGATCATGTGGTCTGTTCTGGTTCTACCGCGTGGAGTACGATCAATTCGTCATAGAAGTAATTTGAGATCATCACTACTACATAAATTGACTATATAACTATTTAGCCTGTCAATCAGATAACAACAATTAACGTTTCACATGTCAGCAGCAAATCACTAACAGAGTATCACCACATCAAACCAACATACAAGGCCACACATCAAACCAGCATGTGAGCCCACACATCAAACCACAAATGTTCACTGCATCAAGCCACAAGAGTTGAAGACTGAGAATTACAGGAAGAGCCAATGCACGTGCATAGCTCACGAAGATTGTTGTACTCATCCTGTTGCCGTTTCTTGAATTCCTCAAGCTCCCTTTTAGTCTTTTCTGTCTTCCTCTTCGGTTCATCCACTTGATCGACGAGGGTAGCGAAACTTTCCTGTGCAGCAGTAAGCTATTCCCGAAGCATTCCCTCCGCCGATGTCTCTATTTTGTTGGAGCTTGTCTGGATACCAGTATTCTTCAAAAAAAATTGTTGCCGCTTACCTGGGATGGGGCCTTGCCCTGGTAGACGTAGAGAACCTTGCAAACAACATCAACACTAGTAATTGGTTGCTGCCCATCAGC